CCTGAGGGAGGTTAGGGGTTGAGGAGGGAGATTAGGTTCCCTGATGCCGGGAAAGATGAGAGGGGAACGCCTTGAGTAAAAAAAATATTCCTGGAGGTCTGGGAGTCTGAGGAAGGGGTCATTCTGAGCGTATTTACTGTAATAAATGGATGGACTCTGGGTTCAGGGATTTTTATTATCAAATCAACATAATGAACATGTAATGCTGCAGAATTGGCACAAGTAATACCAATATTTATACATGGTTTATCATGTCATTCTGAAACTGAGACTCACTGAAGTGAAAGTAAAAAAATTTCCCTTCTTCAGTAAATGAAAATTCATTTTCAAAACAATGTTTTTCACTCAAAAGATTCTTGTTGAATCTGGTTAACTTTCAAAACAATGTTTTTCACTCAAAAGAATCTGGTGAATGTTTTGTCCTGTGACTAGGAGCAATTTGTTTAAATGTATCTGTATACGCAGGTGTTGAGACTGTTATGAAGGTTTTAGTTTTCAAAATGTCTGAACACAGATGATGTTTTAGAAGAAGAATCTGACCAGAGTCTGAGACAAAAGACTGGACGGCGTGTTGACGGAAACCAGACTACTCAGAGTTTTCTCTTATCCTCTCCTGCCCTTAAGTGTGTCCTCAGAGCACCCGCTGTATAACAAATGACTTAATAAAAAATGCAGCAGCAGATGAAGCATAATTGAAGTACTGACTGGACAGTGATGGATCTTGAGGGACTCAGGCACTTTCAAGCACTCAAATCCATAACCCTGCCTAACATATTACTTTGGGACCGTTGCCTTTCTCCGCTGGTTGACAAATCATTCTGATGTGGTCTCACTGCAGGGCTGACAGACCAGTGTCTGCTCACAGCTCCAGTACTAACCAGGGACATAAGAAACCCTATAGTTTAAGTACATTAGAAAAACACATCATAACAAGGAATGGTTGACTATAATGAGTCGTGTCAGCTGGAATGTACGGGGAACAGGGCCAAAAGACCACAAGCAGCACTGTGGCAGCTGGATTGTGTTATGATGACTGCACCGCGTGAATTCACATTGGCCGAGATCACACACAGTTTAAGTGTAGGGCGAGGTCCCTTCCACAGGCATGAGGAACATTTGGCAGCAGAACTTTGTACGTCCCCAGAGGTGAGACTGAGTAAGTCCATCCCTGAATGAAATTATGGCTGCATACATACGCACACAAAAACTCAGACGCAGGCTCAAATTCAACATAAAAATGAAAACCGAATCAGAATAATACACAATTGATGTCTCGCGTGTCGGAAACAATCGCTGTAGGAAGTGAATTTACTCATTCCCTCAATCCATTGTCAGTGTGAGGTCTGTCTCCCGTCCCCCTGCTGTTGATTAGTGTCATCACACGCACCTGTGTCTGTCATTAGTCTCACTCTTGTCACCTGGTGCCCTGGGTATATAAACCTCTCTCCCTCACTCTGTGGGATCATTGCGTTTGTGCTGTGGTTCTGCTTCTTGTTCCTGTGTTTCTGATGTTTATGCTTGAAGTTCTGCTCTTGGTTTCTGTTTCCCCCTGTGTTGAGTTATTTGCTCCTGCAAACCAATGAGTTTTGTAACATTGCACTTTGTAAAAACAATCACCTACTCCTGAAGAGATTCTCCCTGCTACTACATTTGGGTCCTGCCTACTTCCTGCTCACTCTGTGGCAAAACCTGACAGTCCCCACAGTCGACAAGTTTAAGCTTTGATCATTGGCCAGTCCATCACAGCGCCACATATAGTGCACAAATGACCTAATCCTGTATGTTTTTTATTGTGGAGGTGCAGAGTTCCTGGAGAAAACCTCCTGCAAAACCTTGGCACAGAAGGTGCAGGGATCAAATTACAGTAGAACGTTACATTTCTTGAAAACAAACAAAGCTAATTGAACATTTTGTACTTTGTATCAATAAAACACCAGGATGTCAAGTCCAACAGGGAGAACACGCGGTGTCTGACAATGATTTAGCTGAACTAAATAAATGTGGTGAACCACACCCATATGTTTCCTCGCTTTAAATGAGACTTGAAGCAACTGGGGTTCGACTGATGCCCACAGTTTCCCATGAATAAACACACACACTCGCAGACACACAGTGACAGCACTATCTGCCTCGGAGACTTTTCAAAAAACTGTCATCATTCTATGTCAGCCTACGATCTTTTCAGAAAGGCGTGGACCTGGTCGGTGAATGACATCATGCATGATGTCATTCTGCACCTCGCTCACCCACGCCCTGACATGAGCAGCTTCAACACAGCTAAAAACTAGATTTAACTAATAATGAAATAAACCTGTGGTCCACACTGAGGCCGGGACATTAACAGATGTGTATGTTATTGTCTATTTTTCTTTTCTATCATTTTACCATATCTCTTCATCTGCACTTCCTCTGAGACAAACATTCTTCCTCTGACTCTCTCTTCATGGTTAAACAAACATTTTTTGACTGATGTTGTTAAACTTTTGTTTCAAAATTATCCCCATCCTTCATAATAACCCGGTGTAAACTCTGAACACCGCTGACTTTAGACCAACCGTCTGTGTTTTCTCAGCCAACCAGGCACACAAAGATCGAGACAGACTTGAAGAAGCACCATTCCAAAAAGTATTTCATCCAACTAGTGATTGTTGCTTTATGTAAAAACCTAAGGCCTCCCAAGAAAAAGAGCAGCTCAGGAGGAAAAGGCGCATCAACCATGCGTTTCCTTTCTTTTAAAAGACCAAAAAAAAACATCCAAAACAACAAAAACAAGCTGCTGTGGGTTTGGATTTAAAAATTCGAGAGATTCCTTATTTTTCCATCAGTACCCAATGCCTCTGCTCTGCATGTTTAGAAACACACCCTTCTCCACATCCTCCGTCGAAACGTGCCGTCACCTTGTGTGAACCAGTTGATGTAGTGTTTTTATTCACCGAGGTGTCAGCCGGCCGACGGACGCTGTGGAAAATGTAACTTCACACCGTCCTTATACTCAAACGACTCAACCAACCATGACAGAACAGATGATAGACTTTCAATATTTAAATACCATCTATTGTTTATACCGTAGCTGCTTTGTCTGCGTTGCATGCATACAGTCACAGGGATGTGCTTCCACCGAAAGAACTAGTTCCAGGAACCTTGAACAGTCCTTGACCAAATGATCCTGACAGGCAATAGTTTTTTGGGTTTTTTTAAACCATGCCAAACAACAAATATTTTGTCAATTTCTAATGAATAACAGAATAACCCCTGAGAAGAAAATGTGGCTAAATATGATTCTAGTCCGTTATTAAGAAGTCAAATGTGAGCGGAGTCAACAAGAGTTAATTTCTCAACTCAGCTGATGTGTTTTGGAAGTTTCATCAGTGTCGGTGCCACAACTGTAAACACTCTGACAAAACAGATTAGAGTGTCCGTGTCCATGTGCATGTGTGTTTGCTCATCTGTCGGCCTTTTGATCTGCAGCTCGTCTTTTGTTGTTTTGTTTTTTATTGTTATCAGAGTGAAACTCCTCTTCTCTTCCTGCCTCCCACAATGCTTTGCTCTTTTTATCAGGCTTCATAAGAGGTAAAGCAGTGCTGGGACGTGAGACTGCTGCTCTCCTTTCACTCCTTTCTCTGTTGCTTCTCTTTCTGTCCATTGTGTCCTTTCACTCCCCTGCTGCCCTCCTTGAATTTGTAGCCTTGAAGCTTTTACACAACTTCACTTGTTTTCTTTCTGTCTCCTGCTTTGATTCTCGCTGTTGAGAGTGCAACACTCTGTGATGATCCTTCGCCAGTGGGCCGTGTGACTGCGCTGCTTATTGAGTTTAGTTTTCATGGTTCCACTACTTTTTATTCAACACAGGTTGTGTAGAATTTCTTTGTTACTGCCAATGTTGTGTGTTCATATAAACGGCAACAGGATCTGTGAAAATTATTCAGACATACATTTGTTGTGGTCCAAAAAATGTAAAAAAAAAAAGTTTTAATTTCAGACCAGCAGCAAAACAATTCTCTCTATTTTGTGCTTGCAGCCCATATTCTAGTGTGGATAACAAGAAAAGACCGTAAAATATGGGCAGCCATTCCACCTAGTCTCCAATTCCAAGTTGGGTTACGTCAGAAAGGGCTCCCTGTGGGAATCTCACACTGTGGAAACCCCTGATGAAGACTCAGAAAGTGATTCCAATCTAAACAGGACCCACAACACTGTTGTGTGAATGTTTTAAATCAGTATCAGAGGTATGTTATCAGATAATCAATGTTGTGATTTTAATATCAAAGCGCATTACTTAACTTATACATTGTGCATCCAGACCATACAGAAGGGCTTTGTGTTACTTTATAAACGTACAGAATGGCTTCATTAAATTCATTATGAACAATATTCTTGTGTTTTAAGTAGTATTGGGTTACTCCTTCCTCTGGGCTGTGACATATTATGATGTGCACCGGTCCTCTTTGTGCAGGGCATGGGTCACGGCCTACTAAATATTTGGGAAGGGCACACTCGCCCCCGCAGCCCTCCCAAATAGGGAGACACAGCAGACAGGACAAAGAAAATAAACAAGCTTTGCCGCTTTGGACAGACAGCTGCTGCAGGAGCAAAAATACTTGACGCCGAGTTTGTCTCCTAAAAAAGTTGACCATCTCTGATCATTCAATAAATCAACAAGTCCAAGTGAAAGATAACATTATATCTACAAAGAATCCAACACTGACCACAACTACTCCATCATAAGAGATTCAGTGAAACTATCGTGAATGAATCTCTGACAAAACTACAGTATGTGTGTGTGTGTGTGTGTGTGTGTGTTGACACATGGATACCTTCAGGATAAGTAGCTGAGCCTCTAAGACACTGAATTAGCGCCAGTGTCAACAAGCTTACCTTCTGCCACCAATGAAGAAACAATACAAAAACCTCAGACACAAACACACAAACATCACTTAGTATACCACTCACCAGACAAATCTGTGGATAATCAACACACACACACACACCCCTATACACACCTTCTGCCAGGGTGTCGTCCTCTGAGTGTCCATTCAGGCTGGTCATGCTGGAAATCTGTCCATTTTTCTGCAAAGACTGAAAAACAAGACAGAAAAAAGAACATTGTAAGTTAGAAATCTTTAAAAAAAAAATATTTACACACACAATTTCAGGGACTGTAGGGCCTCATGTTATGAGTAAGACGGGATTATCAATACCATTCCTCCATGTGAAGTTTGTTAGCTTGGTCCAACCACAGCCTGTCAACACCCACCATCACACACTGTAACAGTTTTTACTATAATATATAACAGCTTATAAAAGCCTACATGTTTTATGTTGACTTCATGAGGCTGGATGTATGTGTGTGTGTGTGTATGTGTGTGTGTGTGTGTACCGCCACTGTCTTAGTAAGCTATAAAAACTTTTATCATCCCTCAGAACTATTCACTGGTATGACACAAAAACACCAAAACAAGGACCAGAAATGGAAAAGTTCACTTTAGATCTTGTTCAAAACACCTCCTAAAATATGATATTTATTCTGCTCCTTCTGCTCTGGGGTTTATCTAAAAGCCTGTATTTACAGGTACAATGTGTAGGATTGAGCCGTATGTGTTAGTTGATTACCTCATGGTTCCGACAAATATGTGGGAAGTAGATTTGGTCAGTCAGTCAGTCTGAGGTTGAGGTTGAATCAGGTAAATGTAAATGAATGCTGAGTCGAGGGAAAACCCCTAAAAACCAACTGTGATAACACTCCACTCACAGGTGATACACACAGATCGTGGCTGTGCATTACAACGTCAGACACCTGATCGGTGGGTTTACCTCCTGTTATCGTGTTTTGTTTTCCTGTGGCAGTGCCCAGCTCCATCTGACAGTTGTACAATAGTAGTTAGGCCGCAGCTTTTGTCTGCCCCAGTCACAGGAGAGGGAACCAGAGCCTCCCCACAGGGACGCTAATCTACCTAATGGACAACTCACAGACTCCTTTCCCAGCAGGACTTAAGTCCTTGAGGAAAAGTGAGACCACAGAGAAGGCTCTATGCTCATGACAGATTGGAGACCAGGACTAAAGGACCAGAAAAGGACCGTAACAGAATCCTATGATGCAAACAAAGTTTGTATTTTACCATTTTAAAGTGGCCACAACTGGACAACAAATGCGGAGTATTGTAAGCTGGACATTTACAGATTAGTTTTAAACTTGTTCACTGCAACAACATACTGAATTTACTCTTGGAAAGTAAAAGTGAAGTAACCCCCCCCCCCAAAAAAAAAAAATCAACCCACAGTTTCTGTCGGTCACCTTCGGCAGGTCATTGGAGGCCACAAATATGGAAACTCTTGCTTTTGTTTGTGCTGGCCACCAATCCCTGCGCTGAGGTGACTTTGACTGTGGGTGACTGTGATTGGCCGTAGATATAATCACGAGTGAATGTCAGAGCACATTTGCTGCAAAAACACCAAAAAACCAGGCATTTAGTTCTTGTTCACTGCCATCCAAGTATTCCCACCCAGAAAACCTCATAAAGAAATATGTAACCTTGCTCTGAGGTCGTGTACAATGGGCTTTCTTAAGTGCTTGTGGTGCCCCTCCATCCAAACGACAGAGGTCTGATCCACCCAGGAACAAATCTTAAATGAAACCATGAAATGAATGTCTCACATCAGTGTACGGTTATGGCTGTGTCACAGTGTTGTACTGCAGTACCACGGCCGAGGTTGTCTTCACCGTGAGCCGTCATTGTCAGGATTGTTTTATTCTAATCTAATTGAATACATTACTTGGTGTTCTGGGTTTTTTTTGGCTTAATGCAAACACTTTCTGCTATTTCGCAATATGATACGACAGAGTGTGAAGAATTACATTGACTGAATAATGTTTAGTTAAAAAAATCTCTCTATCAGTCCAAGTGTAGTAAAAGTTCTGCCCGAGGATAACCTCCATATGGAATTGATTTAACAGATAAACCAACAGGACTGATTACCCCCCCTCTTGCCCCCCGTGGTGGGGACAAATCTGGACCATACAAGTATGTAGGTGTTGTTACAACAGCCTGGACCTCATTGGTGGCTGGGTCCTTCAGTGACCTCCAGACCTGCTGTGACCCGCCCTTCCTTCTTCTCCTCATGACTGTCATTCCCAGCATTCATTCTTACATTCTTCATCAAAATTCCACAGACTCCCAACCACACACACCCACCCACACCCACCCACACACACACACCTGACTCAGACCACCTTGCCTCATCTACAGCTTAACTCTGAATCTCAATGACCATCACTGAAAGGTCATTTCTTCAAGAATCACATCACTTTATACTTATACCATTATTGGAGTTTAACACAGTATTTCTGAGTATATTTCCAGTATATTCCATAAATTATCATTGTTTCTTAAATAATTGTTTTTTTATTTCTTACCCTATATCAAGTAAAATACTGTATGTTTACACAAAAGTATGAATCGTCTCAGACTTGTGCTCTGAACTGAAACTGCATTTCCAAATTCTTGAGCTCAGGAGGGAAAACAAGGAAAAAAAACTTTTCTCTCTGAGAAATTCAATATTACATCCATATAGATATGATTAAAAGTGAAGGTTGTGTAGGACAGGAGAGAATTCTCCTGCAGGTGAACTGAAACTCAACTGAACTGTGTCAACTGAGCTGCGTTGAATTCTTTTGACGAGTCTCGGGACAGAAAATGTGTAAGTTTCGCTGCCAGTTGTGCATTTTTTCATGTCTGCCTTGTCAACATGGTCTGCCACACAAACCTAAACATAGACTTTGAGCAACTCCCAAAAGTGCACAAAGGAATGTTCACACGCAAAAGCAGTTGTGTTTTGTTTTCTGTGTGAGCTCGTGACATCTAATTTGGATCACTGGAAAACACTTAAGCCACCGCGTCTTGATTTTAAAATAGATTTGTCATTGCTGTGTTGAAGGGGCACATGTTTTACTGTATTTGTTTGTGTTGACTTTGAGCTTAAGTGCAATAAGCCACAGGGCCAAGGAATCTGTAAACATCTGAGCCCCTCCTTAAGCTTCCTTTGTTTGTCCCTGGTCTCATCTTCAATTATCACAGCAGGATTAATGCTCTCCAATAGCAACTTTATCTCCCAGCTCCCTGATTTGCTTGGATAAATGTGGGTTTTTTTTTTCTCCGTAGAAATGAATTCACACTGAAGTATGAACAAAAAAAAAAAACTTTTATCAACTCATTTATCTGGCTTTTTGTTTATTAGGAAGAATGAATTTCATCACCTAATTTTTTTTTTTACTTCTTTAATTTGTTTATATTATAAATGTGAGAATGCTGGGGTTGAGGTTCAAAAACCACTGCTTTGATGCATTAGTCACATGACAAGAAGCCTGACAGTTACAGCATCAAACCATAGTTTCTGCCCATCGACATACTGTATATTGCTCATTTATGTGTCCAATCTCTTTAGACACTTTCACTTGATAAAATATAAGGCACTTGTTCCTCGGCAATGAGAATAATTGAATAACTTAGTCTCATTAGGGAGTTTCAATTTGTTCAGGAAAGAAAATCCTTCTAATCTTTTCTTTGGCTTCACTCATTCAGCTTTCACTTTCATCTGTGATTGGTGTTTTCTCTTATCTGCCTCTCTCATTTACTTTTTGGCTGCAGTTTAAAGTCAGTGGCACCAGGGGAGAGACAAGAGAGAGAGAGACAGAGAGAGAGAGAGAGAGAGAGCCCGTTGCCTCCTAAATCACTCCACAAAGGCCAGTGGCGGAGATTTATTCCCCTCAAACCAAACACAGAATGCAGGAGGTGGGGAGGAGGGGGGAGGTTAATGGAACAGGGGAGGGTGACACAGCTGGCCAGGTTAAAGACCAGAGCCGTCTCTAAAGAGTCTGACAGAGGAGGCTGGGGTGAGTATGCAAAGGGAAGATTAGTGAGCTCTTGTTCCAATCCTGCTCAGGAAAAATAGGAGAGAGAATAGTCCTGAGATTAAAATAGTGTCTGCAAAAAAAACTAAAACTGAGGAGGAAATTGATGTTCACCAAAGGTCAGTGTTTGATTTAATTTGTTTAGGTGCCGTCTGCTCTGATCATTCATGGGTAGATGTTACCCTGATGAATTTGGAGGCTTGGTTTAAGGAACAATGGAGGGATTATGTATGGGAGGAGTGGGGCTGTGCATCAGCTCCTGGCTGCATTCAAAAACAAAGATAAAGTAAAGTCTTTTTCTCTGTCACCTGCCTTATGAGAGTGACACGCTCCTCTGTTGAAGTTGGTTTTGTTTTGGAAACAGCCTGTTACTACTTTCAAGCCTGGCTCATTATACAAACATGACATGACATCACGACCATCCGTCCATAATTCTTTCAAAAACCCGACCCAGTTGCAGTTTGCTGGTCATCCCAGACAGGTCCATCACCAAAAAGACAGCCCAAGAATTCAGCACTTAATCTTCAGGAGGTGTTGAACTTATGGGCTGCAATAGGAATGACAGTTAATAATAATAAGTTTGTCAGGAGGATCAAACTCCAAGGAACATGAACCTGATTCATGGCTGAACCCCCCCCACAGTAGGAGATAACTGGCTTAGAGTCTCTCTGGGAGGTCGCAGCATGTTCACGACAGTTAACCTCCCAACCTCTGACCTCTGAGGTGTGGACAGTTTCACTGAACACAAAAGGCGCACGACAACGGCGTGGTCAGAGAGGGCGACAGTGAGGGAGCACAGAGAGTGAGGTAAGATAAAAATCAGTGGGAAGAAGAGCGAGAGGAGGTGGAAAGCAGACGTTCGAAGGCAGACGAGGAGAGAAACAGGAGGTAAAACGAGGAGTAGGATGATGAAGGAGGATTCACTGACAGCGAGGGGGAGTAGAGTTCTATGTCTGTGAAATTAAGGTGGTTCCCACACAATAATCAGATATTTGAGGCAGAGACAGAGACACTCCAGCCAGATGTAAAACTCTAGATAAATGAAGATAAACGTCAAGGAATGAGCCAGAAAATAAGATAAATAACACATTTGTGGCCATCACACCGCCCCACAAAATAAACGAAAAGGAAACAAATTGAGATGAATCAGCTCTGCTGATGCTACATTTGT